CTCTGGAAGTGATCTACACATTCAATGCAATTTCCATCAAAATACCAATGATATTTTTTTTGTAGAAGTAAAAAAAAAAATGATTCTTAAATTCAGATGGGAGCACAAAGGACCCAGAATAGCCAAAGCAACCTTAAGACAAGAGTAATAATGGAGGTATCACGATACCTGATTTTGAAATATATTACAAAGTCATAAATAACCAAAATATCACAATTTGGACATAAAAACAGACACACTAGACTAATGGATTAGAATAGAAGTCCCAGAAATAAACCTACACTTTTACAGCCAATTGATTCTCTTCAAAGGTGCCAAAAACACACCTTGGAGAAAAGGCAGCCTCTTCCCCAAATAGTACTGGGGAAAACTGGATATCCTCATGTAGAAGACTGAAACTTACCTCCATTTATCACTCGGTACAAAAGTCAACTCAAAATTGATCAAATACCTTGATGTAACATCAGACACTTTGAAATGACTAGAAGATAACATTGGGAAAATACTTCAAAATATTTGCATAAGCAATCATTTCCTGAATTGGACTCCAATACCTCAGAAAACAAGAATTGACAAATGGGATCACATCAAATTCAAAAGCATCTGCACAGTAAAAGAAACCATCAGCAGAATAAAAAGGCAACTTTAAGAATAGGAGAAAAACTTTGCCACATATTCATCTGACAAAAAATTAATATTCAGAATATATAAAGAACTTAAAAAAGTTTAGCAACAAAAGGGTGAATGATTTGAACAGACACTTCTCAAAAGAAGTACAAATGAACAATAAGTGTGTGAAAAAATGCTCAATATCTTTAGCGACTGAAGAAATATAAATCAAAGTTACATTAAGATTCCATCTTATCATAGTGAGAATGGCTATTTTTAAAAATAAATAACAAATGATGGCAAGGAGATTTTAAAAAAGGAAACTTTATACATTGTTGATAGGAACATAAATTAGCACAAGTACTGTGGTAATAAGTTTGGAGATTCCTCATAAAGTTACAAATAGAACTTCCATATTATCTAACTATTCTACTCTTAGGTATTTATCTGAAGGAAATTAAATCAGCATACATAAGTGATACCTGCATATTTGTCTTTATTGTGGCACTGTTTATAATAGCCAAGATGTGGAACAGCTTAGGTGCCCCTCAACAGATGAATGGATAAAGAAAACATGGTATATGTACAAAAGGGACTAGTACTCAGCCATTAAGTAGACTGAAATTACGTCATTTGTAGGAAAATGCATGAAACTGGAAGACATCACATATTTTTCTCTCATATATAAAAACAAACAAACAAAAAACTGAAAGTAGAAATGTAGAAGAGGAGAAAAGGGACTAATAGGGAAAGAGAAGGGGTTAGAGAGGAAAGGGGGAGAAAAAGTAGAAGGGAAAATACAAGGCATGATATATCTTTGTGTGTAAAATCAGCATAAAATCCATCAATTTGTACAAGTAATGTGTTAATCATTATAATAGAGAAAAATCTACAGACTGTGTAACTCCCGTCAAATTAATAATGTCATTCTTCAAAGAGCTAGAAAAAAAGTCTTAAAATTCATATGGAAGAATAACAGACTCAGAGTTGTCAAAGTCATCCTGAGCAGTAAGAATGATTATGGATGGATCACAATACCTGATCTCAAATTATCCTAGAACTATAGTAATAAAATATGGTAATGGCATAAAAAATAGACATGAAGACCAATGAATAGAATAGAGGTCACAAAGACAAATCCATATAGGTATGGTCATCTGATCTTGACCAAGGTGCCAAAGACATACATTGGAGGAAATAATAGTCTTTTTAACAAATGATGATGGGAAACTGCATATCCACATGTAAAAAAATAAAGCTAGACCCCTATCTGTCACCCTACACAAACATCAAATCAAAGTGGATCACAGACCTAAGAACTGGACCAGAAACACTACAATTGCAAGAAGAAAATACAGTGTCAACACTTTTACATTGGCACAAGTACCAATTTCCTTAATAACATACCTCAAGCTCAAGAAATAAAACTAAGAATCAATAAGTGGATGGCATCAAATTAAAAAGCTTCTTCAGAGCAAAGGAAGCACTTAAGAGCCTGAAGAGAAAGCCTACAGAATGAGTGAAAATCTTCACCAACTATTCTTCTGATGGGGGAGTAACATATAGAATATATAAAGAACTTAAAAAAAAACACCAAGAAAACCAAATAACCTAATCAATAAATGGGCAAATGATTTAAACAGACATTGGTACAAAGAAGAAATAAAAATGGCCAATAAATATTCCCTTACCAATCAGGGAAATACAATCAAAACTATACTGAGGTTTCATCTTACTCCAGTTAGAATGACAATCATTAAGAATACTAATAACAATAACTACTAGTGAGGATGTGGGGAAAAATACACTCATATATTGTTAGAGGAATTGTAAATTGGTACGACCACTTCAAAAAGCAGTATGGGGATTCCTCAAAACCCTAGGAAAGGCACTACCATATGACTCAGCTATCTTACTGCTAGGTATTTATCCAAAACAACTAAAATCATCATCATACTATAGTGATATGTACAAATGCATACCAATGTTTATAGCAGCACAGTTCACAAGAGTAAGTTATGGAACCAGTCTAGGTATCTGACAACAGACAATTGGATAAAGGAAATGTGGTGTGTAGCCATGATGGAGTTTTACTCAGCCACCAAGAATGTAATTATGTCACTTGCTAGTTATGAATAGAACTGGAAAACATACTATGTGAAACAAGCCAGACTCAAAAAGTAAGCATTAAATCTTTCTCTCATGTGGAAACTAGAGAGAGAGAAAACAACTAAAATCAATTGCAAAGGAGAGAATCTCACAAAAATAGGAGACCAATAGAGTAGAAAAATGGGGAGGGAGGGGAACATAGGGAATTACTGAGGAACAAAATCTACCAAATGCTGCTATGTATGTCTATGCATGAATATGCCGCAATGCAATATATATATAGCATATTATACATAATGTACTAATCAATAATAATAGAGATCAATAGAGCAAGTGGATCAGAGGAAGGAGGAAGGGAGGGAAAGGCAAGCTAGTGGGAATGAGATTGATTAAATTATGTACATGGCATAATGAATTCCACTATTATGCATAATTACAATGCACCAAGGAAAAGAAGAAAAAACAGGAACAAGTGATTTTTAAAATTTACTATACATGACAATAAGTGAAATATTATAGGTCTTATACTATTTTGTATATTTTGACTATACATGAAACAATAAGTATAATATGTATACATTTATCCAAGAAATGTTTATCAAACCCTTATTAGATATAAGAGTTAAAGGATCAAAGGCTAGTTTCTCCTTTTACAGAACTAAGAAACGACAGGCACACAGCATTTATAATGGGAATACACTGAACATACACTGAAAAATGTGTAAGCCTTTCTGGAAACTGTCAGGTTAAACCAGATGGGAGCAGTTAGGTAGAGACTTGAAAGATAAGTAAGGTTTTGCAAACCATATTAATAGAGAAAAAGGGAGCACAGTCAAAGACAGTAATGAATATTGGGGTAATACAATGATATTAGTGCAGATAGAGTGTAAAGAACATCAAAGAGAGTAAGTAACTTAAAAGAAAAGGCAGAATAATACTCACCCCCTCTTTTTCCACCCTAAAACAGACAATAGGTGTCCCAAGGAGAAAGAGAAAGCATTGTGCTCCATTACAGAGTTCAGTGAATAGTTCTTCAGGTTTTGACAGGGACAGATATACAAACATTAAAGGCAAGAGCTGGACACTATCTCGTATTTGAGTGAACTTTCCTATTTTTCATCCTGTGCCATCTATCCTACTTGTAGTAGCTTATAGCTGATAAATACTCCTGGATACTTTACAACTCCTGATAGTGACAGTGTAGGTAGAGAACAAGGATGCTAGCAAATGAATTGCTCAAGTGGTTTAATAGAGTGACTTATGATACAAGTAGAATTGTAAAGTCACATTGTTATGATGGACTGAAGGGAAGCAATAATGTGCAATTAATAAGGACTAAGCAAGAGGACCTGGGTATGGATGTATTCTTCAAAACCAGAAAATAAGTTGGGAACTGTTATCTGAAGAAAACAAGGTAGAAATAGACATTATGCTGGATTTATAACCCCAAAGTTTAACATTTTACAGATTTCTAGGATAATGTCAAAAAGTCAATGCATCTGTGCATAAATGCCTTCACTTGAATATCAATCATCCTGATGCAATGACACATGTAATGGAGTGGCCCTTATGTTTCTCTTTCATTCTTGGTGACTGAGTCCTTTGTGGTACGGAGGCAGTACTTAGGATCTATGCCAAATTATCTCAGTGGGCTATGGTTGGAACTTCCTGGCTGTAGAACTTTTTTAACCAAAAAAAAAAAAAAATTGCATAAAGAAGATTAAACACTAACTATACCCCTTACATTTTGCTTGCGTGGGGTCTAGTTTATAGTTCCATTGGACCAACTCTTTGTGTTAAAGATGATCATAACTTATACTGGACTGAGCTTCCAGGTTTCCTGCAGTCATTCCAGCTGTTATGGGCAGTTCCCAATGATAAGAATTGTGCCAGCCCTTCAAGGAAGTGACTTCGTGCCAGTGCTCTCAATATCAGAAATCTTCCTTCCTACTCACACTTCAAATGTTGAACTGCTAAATTTTTTTTAAATCCCTAATGGCTTTTAAGAATTGCATCCTACTTGGTAACTATGATAACCTCTTTTATATTTAAAATGTGTTTGAATTTATTTACTACTTCTCATTACCTCATTTAGGCCCCTGAAGTCACAGATAGAGTGTTGAGCAGGTTTGAGCACCACCAACATTCAGTGATGCCAAGCAAGAGGTTGGCTTAGAGTCATGGACCTGCTATTGTGTGTTGATCCTGTGTTCAGTCATTTTTGAATAAAATTTTCAATGGTCTTAGATATTGCAAATAATTTTTACTTTTTCACTTTGTAGGACAGCATAACTATTTATGTGCTGGAAGAAATGACTGCATTGTTGATAAAATCCGCAGAAAAAACTGTCCAGCATGTCGCCTTAGAAAGTGCTGCCAGGCTGGCATGGTCCTTGGAGGTAAAATTGATGTTTTCTTTAATAACATATTTATGCTTTAACACTTTGGGTCCGAAAATACTAATTTTCTTATTTTCTTTATTCTTGCTTTATTTTTTTCTGTCTTGATTATTGATGGTGACTCTTCACACTTGAGTGTCTGAATGAAGCATATGGATGTGTTGTCTTTTTTTCTAGATTCATGAAATTTTCCTACATATGATGCATTAATAATACTTTATAATATGCAGTCTATATCATGTCATTTTATGTTGTTGTTTATGGTATCTTTTTTTAAAAAAATTAAATAATCACACATTAAATCCCACTTAAATAATCAATGTTCTCCCTTTATGCTGTTCTCTGCCCAGAAATAATATAAATAATATATTCAGAATAATCTGAGTTTTTCACATTCATTTCCTTATCCTACTTACAAATAGTTTTTGTATTAAGAGATAGGAATCTAACTTCATTTTCCATATGGATAACCTATTACCATAGCATATTTATTGACACAATGGTCCCAAACTTTTTTAAAGTACACCACCTAGATTAATAAAAATGTTTGAAGCCTCCAACCCACAATGTAGGTTTGTTTATAAATACACACATACAGAACTACCAAATTGTATGTTAATGATTTTTAATTTATTTTTATTTTTAGACTAAATTATAAATATGAATTGTCACATTTTTCTAACAATACTCAAATTAAAAATTCCAGTGAAATTTGTAATACCACTTCTGTTGGTATTACCAAATTCCTAAGTTTGTTCTTTTACTGACTTCTCTATCCCTGAACCATTACCACAGTATCTGAAGTGCTGTAGTTCCATATATGTTGATACCTGGTGGAATAACTATCCCTAAATTATGTTTTTTCAGCATAATTGGTGCTTCTTGTTCACCTGAATTTTCCTCTTAAAGTAACATTTAAAGGCTTATTCTCGGTGGTTTCCAGTACTTGAAACCCTGCATGAGTTCATACCCCAGGAATAATTAAATACATTTTAAATTTCCTTGCCTCTCTTTTTACATCAGATAATCTTTCCAATAACATCCTACACTAACAAACTGAAGTTGTTTCAGTTTGTCTTCCCCCAAAAAACATATTGCCATCCAAAATAATTTGTTTAAAATTCATTTAGAATTTCATAATCTGAGATGGCTTGTAAGGACTAACATATAATGCAATATTTTTTGAAGGACAATTCTAGGATTAAAAATAAAACCTATTGTACTTCAGGTTTATATGATAGATTCATTCAAATCTAGCGGTGTCCTGAAGTAGCCATCACAAACTGAGACATAGAGCAGTGGTCCCTGATTTCATAAGTGGGTCTGCACAGAGGCTTGTTAGAAAGAAGTGGACTGTGCACTCTGATAGGCCACAGTTCTAATGTTCTTCTGCCAGAGAGTCAGTGGCAGGAGTCTGGGGAGTGAAAAATCCAACTCCTATAAATTAGCTAATTTGTTAGGATTAGATTCAAATTGCTAGGACCATATTAAATTTCTGGAATAAAGTGGAGTGTACTCGTGGTCTTTTGAAAATGAGAGTCCTTCTGAGAGTGATAATTTTGATTGCTCATGGTTGGATTCTTCCATAACTAAGAAGAGAATATCATGGAACTACTAAAAATGGAGCCCATGTCTCCTTCCTTACCTTCTTCCCTTCCCTCACCTTCATCCCTTCCCTCATTCATTTTTGTTTGATCCTCTTTTTTCATTTCTGACATACAGCCCCTTTAAATACATGGGATAACACTGAGACACATTTAAGATTTAATAAAATCCTAGGGTGGAATATCAGATTTCAGAAATATGGCTTTGACATGTCATGACATAGAGTTTGTTAATGGGCAGTTTGTTCCTATCTGCTTCAGTGGCTGTGTTCTTGTAAGAATTATGTTTAAGCCATTTGGTCTTTTTGTTGCATATGATTCTTATTTTTAATGAATCACTTCCCTTACAGGTCACAGTGAACTTCTGCATTTAGTTGATTGCTGTGCAGTACTGAGTAGGAAGATAGTTATATCCTTAGTGATGGTAATATATCTTCTAATTTAGGTGTTCTTCTAACTTCTTTCCTTTAGACAACATTTTTGTTTACTGACTCACAAAGTTTTTCTGAAATGAACAGAGCTCTGTATTTTGTATTTGTGGTAAGAATGCTAAACTATTACAAAGGTCTTTCAAAAATAAGTAGATTTCTACATGATGGGATGATTAAATGAATAGTTGTGTTTGTTGAAATCTTTTTTTAAAGCCAGAGACTGTTTATGGGTTTTTGGGTGGTGGATAAATTTTTAAAAGTTGTGTTGAGAGCCAGTTTCTCTTCTACTCATCCTCTCCCTCTTTACCTAAATTCACCCCTACTTCTCTTGGCAAAGAGAATAACTTCCTGGCCTATAAAGTATGACTTCTGTAGTAAAACTTTTTAAAATCTGTTTTGTTTTGGTTTGCTCTCTGATTCTTTTTTCCTGAAGAATTCTACAATTTAAAAATTTGGGACACAACAATATTATTGCTGGTAGGACAGAGATCTGTTCTGTGCCTTTACTGTAAAAACTGAAGCCATGTGTCCTGTCTTTAAGGCAAGGATTGCTATGTGCGATGGCTGCCACCTACCTCCTTAGATTTCACAGTCTTCCTCTTATGCACCTTTCCTTTTCTACCCAAACCTTGGCTTTCCAGATAGCTCCTTTTATAGACAATACTTCTTTCTGACTAGTCCCCAGTTCCCTGAACTGAAGCCTGCAGCCACATGGTGCTTTCTGATCACCAAGTGTTCTCCCAGAACACCGTCTTACACTCATCTACAGACAATGGTCCTTAGAGGATTCATTCTCACAAGTTTGCTTAAATTTTGTTGTTGTCGTTGTTTATAGGGAACTGCTTTTATGGCTGCCAACTAGAACTGTTCATTAGATCTACCAGTATCAAGTATTTTCAATTAAAATAGCTCAATATAAATTACAGATTGAGGGGTTCAAATATCTTCTCCAGTCGCAGTGTGACTTTTATTTGAATGACTGAAACATAAAGACACATATTTTAAAAATCAATTCTAATATAGTTTTTGGTACATACTTTTACTTTGTATTTTCTATGATCTAGCATCTATGCTTTCTTTGAAGTATATATGCAGGTATACTCTGCTTTGACCTGGACAACAGAGGTGAAGCCTAAGAAAAGGAAAGCAAGACATTTCAGTGCAATGGTGGTTGTTAGAGCCTTGTCCAAAGGGACCAGTCCCATCACTGCACAGTGGTCATCATCCTAGACACACTTCCATAATCCCATGCAGGCAGTTGAGATGATCGTCTGCAAATCCACCCAAACTACAGCCGTGTTTATTATGATCATTGTAGTATAAAAGGATTTACACCAGTCCTTAATTGCCTGTTGGTATTTATCTTCTTTCCTCATTCATTTCTCAGAAAGCTTCTGGCTGCCATTAAACTTATGTTTTAATATTCAATATAATTATTCTTCCTTTTCTTCCATACAACAAATTAGTACTATCACTTGACCATCTTGTGTCATCCATTCAATATAAATATTTTGCCAGAAATAAAGACAAATAGCAAAAGAGGGGATAGCAAAATAAACAGCACTAATTTCAAACAGTATTCAGAATTAGCTATTATGACTTTTTTATTGTCTGTTTACCCACATTTGAATACTAGGAGGATACTAGCATTATTCAAATATTGCTTCCCTCCTGTTGCCTCTCTCTACCTCTAGAACACTTATTAGATAGATATTGGACTAGCCCATTCTGTCCTCTATATTTCTTAACCCTTTTGACTATTTCTCATGTTATGATCTGCTGGTGTATATATAATTTAGTCAGTTCTGTATTCCAGTTTACAATTTTTTGCACTATGTTCTTAATATTTTTTTTTACATTTTAGTTGTAGTATCTTTTTTAACATTTTTAAACATTTTAACATGTTTCTTTTAGAGTAGCTTTTTGCATACTTGTGTTCTTAATTCTTAAACAATTGTATACATTAAAGTCCCAAAACTCACCATTGTTGCATGCTGGTAACCACATATATTTTTCTAAATATAAATAAATAAATAGAGTAAAAGAATCCTGATTATTCATAGTATTCCCAAATATGTTGGTGTAAATACTCCCATTTGACTTTCATTGGTTACAAGTATTTGAACTAGCAAGTTTCAAAATTCTGCATATTTAACACAGTTCTCACAAGTCAGGATGAGCCAAACCCAATATACTGTTTATTGTTTCTGCTATTTCTCATTTATTGAAGCATTTGTCATTTTGGTTCATTAGCTTATATTTGGAAGAGTTAATTTTTTAATCTTGTGTGGTCTTAATTGAGGGTGCTTGTCTCTAGTGAGAATCTATATCTCATTATTCAAGCTACCTTAGCTGTTTTTTTTTTTTTTTTACAAGAGAAGGATCACTTCTATTTTTTTTAAGAGATAACAGTATAATGTTTATTGTGGCAAAGACTTTCAAATGATAAACCTGAATATAACAATAGGGAAAATTACATAAAATATAATGAATATAATAATTCAACTTCTTTAAAAGTTTGATTTCTTAAACTATAATACAGAATAACAGTACACATATTTTATGATATATTTAACATAACCAAAATTATGTTTTTTTAAAGAGAGAGGTAGAGAATTTTTTAACATTTATTTTTTAGTTTCCAGTGGCCATAACATCTTTATTTTATTTTTTATGTGGTGCTGAGGATCGAACCCAGCATCCCGCGCGTGCCAGGTGAGCATGCTACCACTTGAGCCACATCCCCAGCCCAACCACAATTATGTTTAAAATTATAAATGAGATGCACTAATTCTGATTCTGGTAATTTTTAGTTTTCTATAATTGTACATGAATTATTTAAGAAACTAATATAGGAGCGACACAGAAGAGGAATTTGTTCAATTTGGATCTTCTGTGTTCTGCTCAGCAATTTCTGTAAGTTTTTTTCAAAATTTTTATTCTAATTTGTTATGTATGACAGAAG